CTTTCCACCTGAGTATCCATCCCATGTGCAGTCACCAAAGGTAGATGCTGATGTGGAAGTCAGGAAGTGCATGCTGATAAGAGCCTGATATGGATGTCTCTTCAGAGGCCTTCAAGAGTCTGACATATTCAGAGGCAGATGCTCACAACTAGCCATTGAACTGTTAATGGGGTTCTCAATGGAGGAGTTAGAGTAAATACTGAAGGAGCTGAAAGGGTTTGCTGCCCCATGAGGAGAGCAACAATACCAACCAACCAGAGCTTCCAGGGTCTAAACCGCCAGCCTGGGAGCACTTAGGGAGGGATCCAGGGCTTCAGCTGAATACATAAGAGTGGAGGGCCCTGCTGGGCATAGGTGGAAGATGAGATCCTTGACCTCATGAAGGCTGGACGCCCCAGGGGGTGGGAATTTTGAGGGTTGGGAAGTGGGAGTGGGAGGGTAGGTAGGGGTTACATCCACAGAGGAGAAGGAGGAGGGGTAAGGGGATAGGGGGTTCCCGGGTGGGTGGGGGATGGGGTAAGGGGACAACATATGAAATGTAAATAAAACATCCAATAAAAAAATTTTAAAAAATCAAGCATATTTAATTGCAAGGTATTGACATTATGTCTGAATTCCATTAATAAATGTGGAAACACACTAGCCATGCAGCTATCTTTATAAACTGTTAGAAACAAACTGCAGCACATTCAGAAGAAAGTGACCAGGACTGAGAGGGGACTAAAAATCTTATCCTATGTGGATTAGTTCAAGGGATGGAGACACTAAACACGAAGGGACAAACACTCATGCAGTTGCTGTCCTAAGATATTGAAAGCCTCTTTGCATGGAAAAGACTGAGATTCAAGTGCAAAACTGTGGCTCCCTGGTAGGAAGTACGGGGAAATAGATTTAGGATACAAACAATAGGAAGTATTCTAGTTACTAGTACTGTCTATACCTGGCCTGTATCTCTTCAGAAAGGGGCATGGCACAGACTGCCCACTTTAGGTAATGTGGCCCTAGAGGGGTATCAGAAACAAGCTTGGCAAGGAACACCCCAGGTGTTTCAATCTGGAGGAGTTTTGACTAGATGTTTCCATTGCTAGTCATTATCAATTGAAATTCATCAGTTCATGCTCATGCTGTGAAGAGTCTTAATTATTTAGGGAAGAAAACCATGAGCTAGACCAGAACTGGTCTGCATACCAAAATAACATCAGAGACTCTGTGATTTGAGGCTAAATCTAAAAACTAACCACATACCCACTAGTCATTGGAGGAAATTCCACTGATGGGTGAGGATTGTGGGAAAAAAGATAAATGCTTAGACCATGGGGGGTGGCAATGCTTTTTGGTCAAGGGCCAGAAGTAATTCGGGAGCTGCAGGCCACACACTCACTTTTGCAAACACACAGCCCATTCACTGCTAAGCAAATGCAGGCAGAGACAACCAGCAAACAAAGGGAATCCCTGCGTTACAGCAAGACTTTCCATAGCATCGTTGAACTCTGAACTGTGTGTATGGCATGAAACAGCCTTTAGATTTTTAAACTATTTTAAATGTGATCAACATTGTAGATCTTAATCTATATAGAGTATGGGACTGTGGTTCATCAATTCCTGGGCAGAGATAAGGGACCACTGTGGCACTGAAAGACAAGGAGAAAATTGAGCATCATCATCGTAGCAGTGCCTAAGCCATCTCCAAGCCCTTTCTTCCCAACATTAGCCCTGCTAGGCGCTTCTCACTACAGACTGCCCTAACGCCATGACATTGGAGAATGCTTGTGTTTCCTCTCGCTTGCATTCCTATATTAATGTTTGTGGCTGTGTTATGTTTTTACTTGCATTTTTCTAATTGTCTAGTAGCTTTAAATTTCCTCCCGTTCAAGTTATTAAGACTGTTCTTCTCTATGAAAAAATACTTAAGAATTAAAGAAAAGATATTGACCTTCATGATTGGTTGGGTGAGGTCGAGTAAATGACCCAATGCAACAAATGCAAAAGTCTGTATGGAACCTGTCTAGTATGATACATTTCAAAACAAAGCTGTGGCAGCTTGAATGAAATGGTCCCCATAAGTTCACTGAGAATGACGTTATTAGAAAGAATTAGGAAGAACTAGCCTTGGAGTGCCTGTGGCTTGACTGGAGGAACTGTGTCTCTCAGGGTAGGCTTTGAGGTTTCAGAAGCTCAATCCAGTCCCAGTGGCTCATTCTCTCTTCCTGTTGCCTGTCAATCTGGATGTAGAACTCTTAGCTACCTCTCTAGCACCGTGTTTGATTACATGCTACCATGTTTCCTTCTGTGACAATAATGGACGAAACTTCTGAACTTTAAGTCAACCTCAATGAAATGTTCTCTTTTATAAGAGTTGCGATGGGCCTTCTGCCCCTGCCTGGTCCTCTGGGCTGGAGCAGACACAGAGTCGGTCTGCTCCCGTCCTGTTGAGAAACTGAATCCTGAGTCATCCAGGAGCCACTGCACTCAGAGCAGCTGGTAAGAACTCCATCTCACTCCCTAAACCCCAGAGATAGATCGGGGAGCCAGGGACATCCAGGGCACAGCAGCTACCCAAACCCCGCCCCTCCGGAATTCCACTTCCCTTCTGCCCCTGCCTGGTCCTCTGGGCTGGAGCAGACACAGAGTTGGTCTGCTCCTGTCCTGTTGAGAAACTGAATCCTGAGCCATCCAGGAGCCACTGCACTCAGAGCAGCTGGAGCCACTGCACTCAGAGCAGCTGAAACTGAATCCTGAGTCATCGAGGACCCACTGCACTCAGAGCAGAAGGATTTCCAGATCCAAGAGGTGGCCTGAGTCCCAGGAGTTATTCCACCCAGGAGATTAGGAGCATAAGACCACACAGACCTCTGGACTCTGAGGAGCTCTGCAATAAGCAAGATAACTGGAAATACAGACTCCAGTTTTACACAGTGAGGGCAGTTACCACTAGAGTTAACCAGATGGCGAAAGGCAAGCGCAAGAACATAAGCAACGGAAACCAAAGTTTCTTGGCATCATCAGTGCCCAATTCTCCCAATATAGCAAGCCCTGAACACCCCATCACACCTGAAAAGCAGGATTCAGAATTAAAATCACTTCTCATGATGATGATAGAGAATTATAAGAAGGAATTAAGTAACTCCCTTAAAGAAATACAGGAGAGTACAAGTAAACAGATAGAAGCCCTTAAAGAGGAATCACAGAAATCCCTTAAAGAAATGGAAGAAAACACAAAGAAGGAATTAAACAAAAACATTCAGGATCTGAAACTAGAAATAGAAACAATAAAGAAAGTTCAAAGGGAGACAACCATGGAGATAGAAAACCTAAGAAAGAGATCAGGAGTCACAGACGCAAGCATCACCAACCGAATACAAGAGATAGAAGAGAGAATCTCAAATGCAGAAGATACGGTGGAAAATATTGACACACTTGTCAAAGAAAATGCAAAATGCAAAAAACTCCTAACTCAAAACATCCAGGAAATCCAGGACACAACGAGAAGACCAAACCTAAGGATAATAGGTATAGATGAGAATGAAGATTCCCAACTTAAAGGGCCAGTAAATATCTTCAACAAAATTATTGAGGAAAACTTCCCTAACCTAAAGAACAAGATGCCCATAAACATACAAGAAGCCTACAGAACACCAAATAGACTAGACCAGAAAAGAAATACCTCCCGTCACATAATAATCAAAACATCAGATGCACAAAACAAAGAAAAAATACTAAAAGCAGTAAGGGAAAAAGGTCAAGTAACATATAAAGGCAGACCTATAAGAATTACACCAGACTTCTCACCAGAGACTATAAAAGCCAGAAGAGCCTGGACTGACATCATACAGACCCTAAGAGAACACAATTGCCAGCCCAGATTACTATACCCAGCAAAACTCTCAATCACTATAGATGGTGAAACCAAGATATTCCATGATAAAACCAAATTTGCACAATATCTTCCCACAAACCCAGCACTTCAAAGGATAATTGATGGAAAATGCCAACACAAGGAGGGAAACTACAACCTAGAAAAAGCAAGTAAGTAATCTTCCAACAACTCCAAAAGAAGATACAAACATAACTTTACCTCTAATAACAAAAATAACAGGAAGCAACAATCATTTTTCCTTAATATCTCTTAACATCAATGGTCTCAATTCCCCAATAAAAAGACGCAGACTATCAGACTGGATACACAAACAAGACCCAGAATTTTGCTGCATACAAGAAACGCACCTCAGTGACAAAGACAGACACTACCTCAGAATAAAAGGGTGGAAAACAATTTTTCAAGCCAATGGTCCCAAGAAACAAGCTGGAGTAGCCATTCTAATATCAAATAAAATCGACTTTCATCCAAAATTAATCAAAAAAGATAAGGAAGGACACTTCATACTCATCAAAGGAAAAATCTACCAAGGTGAACTCTCAATTCTGAACATCTATGCTCCAAATGCAAGGGCACCTACATACATAAAAGAAACTTTACTAAAGCTCAAAACACACATTACACCTCACACAATAATAGTGGGGGATTTCAACACCCCACTGTCAGCAATGGACAGATCATGGAAACAGAAACTAAACAGAGACACTTTGAAATTAACAGAAGTTATGAACCAAATGGACTTAACAGACATCTATAGAACATTTCATCCTAAAACAAAAGAATATACCTTTTTCTCAGCACCTCATGGTACCTTCTCCAAAATAGACCATATAATTGGTCACAAAACAAGCCTCTACAGATACAAAAAGATTGAAATAATCCCTTGCATCTTATCAGATCACCACGGACTAAGACTGGTCTTTAATAATGACAAAAACAATGGAAAACCCACGTACACATGGAAACTGAACAACTCTCTACTCAATGATGACTTGGTCAAGGAAGAAATAAAGAAAGAAATTAAAGACTTTTTAGAATTCAATGAAAATGAGGACACATCATACCAAAACTTGTGGGACTCCATGAAGGCAGTGCTAAGAGGAAAGCTCATAGCTCTAAGTGCCTACAAAAAGAAACTGGAAAGAGCACACACTAACAAGTTGACTGCACAACTAAAAGCTCTAGAACAAAAAGAAGCAAATACACCCAGGAGGAGTAGAAGGCAGGAAATAATCAAACTCAGGGCTGAAATCAACCAAATAGAAACAGAAAGAACAATACAAAATATCAATAAAACCAGGAGTTGGTTCTTTGAGAAAATCAACAAGATAGATAAACCGTTAGCCAGATTAACCAGAGGGCACAGAGACAGTATCCAAATTAATAAAATCAGAACTGAAAAGGGAGACATAACAACAGAAACTGAAGAAATTCAAAAAATCATCAGATCCTACTACAAAGGCCTATACTCAACAAAACTGGAAAACCTGGATGAAATGGACAATTTCCTAGACAGATACCAGGTACTGAAGTTAAACCAGGAGCAGATAAACCATCTAAATAGTCCCATAACCCCTCAGGAAATAGCAGCAGTCATCAAAAGCCTCCCCACTAAAAAAAGCCCAGGACCAGATGGTTTTAGTGCTGAATTCTATCAGACCTTCAAGGAAGACCTAATACCAATTCTCTTCAAACTATTCCACAAAATAGAGACAGAAGGAACACTACCCAATTCGTTCTATGAAGCTCCAATTACACTCATACCCAAACCCCACAAAGACCCGACAAAGAAAGAGAACTTCAGACCAATCTCCCTTATGAACATCGATGCAAAAATACTCAATAAAATTCTAGCAAACCGAATCCAAGACCACATCAAAACAATCATCCATCATGATCAAGTAGGTTTTATCCCAGGAATGCAGGGATGGTTCAATATTCGGAAATCCATCAATGTAATCCACTATATAAACAAACTTAAAGAAAAAAACCATATGATTATCTCACTAGATGCTGAGAAAGCATTTGACAAAATTCAACATCCCTTCATGATAAAAGTCTTGGAAAGATCAGGAATTCAAGGCCCCTACCTAAACATAGTAAAAGCAATTTACAGCAAACCAGTAGCCAACATCAAGCTAAATGGAGAGAAACTTGAAGCAATCCCACTAAGATCAGGGACTAGACAAGGTTGCCCACTCTCCCCCTACCTATTCAATATAGTACTGGAAGTCTTAGCCAGAGCAATTAGACAGCAAAAAGAAGTCAAAGGGATACAAATAGGAAAGGAAGAAGTCAAAATATCGCTATTTGCAGATGATATGATAGTATACTTAAGTGACCCCCAAACTTCCACCAGAGAACTCCTAAACCTGATAAACAACTTCAGCAAAGTGGCTGGTTATAAAATCAACTCAAACAAATCAGTAGCCTTCCTCTACATGAAAGATAAACAGACTGAAAAAGAAATTAGGGAAATGACACCCTTCACAATAGTTGCAAATAATATAAAATACCTTGGTGTGAATCTAACCAAGCAAGTGAAAGACCTGTATGACAAGAACTTCAAGTCTCTGAAGAAAGAAATTGAAGAAGATCTCAGAAGATGGAAAGATCTCCCATGCTCATGGATTGGCAGGATTAATATAATAAAAATGGCCATCTTGCCAAAAGCAATCTACAGATTCAATGCAATCCCCATTAAAATCCCAACTCAATTCTTCACAGAGTTAGAAAAGGAAATTCTCAAATTCATATGGAATAACAAAAAACCCAGGATAGCGAAAACTATTCTCAACAATAAAAGAACTTCTGGAGGAATTACCATCCCTGACCTCAAGCTGTACTACAGAGCAATAGTGATAAAAACTACCTGGTATTGGTACAGAGACAGGCAGGAAGATCAATGGAATAGAATTGAAGACCCAGAAATGAACCCACACTCCTATGGTCACTTGATCTTTGACAAAGGAGCTAAAACTGTCCAGTGGAAAAAGGACAGCATTTCAACAAATGGTGCTGGTTCAACTGGAAGACAACATGTAGAAGAATGAAAATTGATCCATTCTTATCCCCTTGTACAAAGCTCAAGTCTATGTGGATAAAGGACCTCCACATAAAACCAGATACACTGAAACTAATAGAAGAGAAGGTGGGGAAAAGCCTCGAATACTTGGGCACAGGGGAAAAGTTCCTGAACAGAACTCCAATGGCATATGCTCTAAGATCGAGAATTGACAAATGGGACTTCATAAAATTGCAAAGTTTCTGTAAGGCAAAGGACACTGTCAATAGGACAAAACGACAACCAACAAATTGGGAAAAGATCTTTACCAATCCTTCATCTGATAGAGGGCTAATATCCAATATATACAAAGAACTCAAGAAATTAGACTCCAGACAACCAAATTACTCTATTAAAAAATGGGGTATAGAGCTTAACAAAGAATTTTCAACGGAAGAAACTCGAATGGCTGAGAAGCATCTAAAGAAATGTTCAGCATCCTTAGTCGTCAGGGAAATGCGAATCAAAACAACCCTGAGATTCCATCTCACACCAGTCAGAATGGCTAAGATTAAAAACTCAGGTGATAGTAGATGCTGGCGAGGGTGTGGAGAAAGAGGAACACTCCTCCATTGTTGGTGGGACTGCAAGATGGTGCAACCACTTTGGAAATCAGTCTGGCGGTTCCTCAGAAAATTGGACATAGCATTACCCGAGGATCCAGCTATACCACTCCTAGGCATATACCCAGAAGATGCTCGAACACATAACAAGGACATATGCTCAACTATGTTCATAGCAGCCTTATTTATAATAGCCAGGAGCTGGAAAGAACCCAGATGTCCTTCAACTGAGGAATGGATTCAAAAAATGTGGTATATTTACACAATGGAGTATTACTCAGCTATTAAAAACAATGAATTCGAGAGGTTCCTAGGTAAATGGATGGAACTAGAAATTATCATCCTGAGTGAGGTAAGCCAATCACAAAAGAAGACACATGGTATTCACTCACTGATTATTGGATATTAGCCTAGAACCTTGAAATGCCCAAGATGCAACTCACAGGCCACATGAAGCCCATAAAGAAGGAAGACCAAGTGAGGGTGATTCGGTCCTTCTTAGAAGGAGCAACAAAATACTCAAGGGAGCAAATATGGAGACAAAGTGAGGGACAGAAACTGAAGGAGGGGCCGTCTCAAGACCACCCCACCTGAGTATCTATCCCATGTGCAATCACCAAAGGTAGATGCTGATGTGGAAGACAGGAAGTGCATGCTGATAAGAGCCTGATATGGATATCTCCTCAGAGGCCTTCAAGAGTCAGACATATTCAGAGGCAGATGCTCACAAGTAGCCATTGAACTGATCATGGGGTTCTCAATAGAGGAGTTAGAGTGAAGACTGAAGGAGCTGAAAGGGTTTGTGGCACCATGAGGAGAGCAACAATACCAACCAACCACAGCTCCCAGGGTCTAAACCACCAGCCTGGGAGCACTTAGGGGGGGATCCAGGGCTTCAGCTGAATATGTAAAAGTGGAGGGCCCTGCTGGGCATAGGTGGAAGAAGAGAACCTTGACCTCATGAAGGCTGGATGCCCCAGGGGGTGGGAATTTTGAGGGTGGGGAGGTGGGAGTGGGGGGGTGTAGATGGAGGTTACATCCACAGAGAAGAAGGAGGAGGGGCGAGGGGATTGGGGGTTCCGAGGGGGTGGTGGGGGATGGGGTAAGGGGACAACATAGGAAATGTAAATAAATCATCCAATAAAAAAAAAAAAAGAAAAAGAAAAAAAAAAAAGAGTTGCGATGGTCATGGTGTCTCTTCACAGCAATAAAACCCTAACTAAGAAGTCCAGGCTCTCTCCATAGGGACCCTGCATTTTACCTGAAAGATGTTCCCCTCAGGATCCTGGACCTCACAGATCACCTCTGAGGTGTGCTTCATGATATATCTGCTGGCTCTTAGCTGCTCACGCTTCTGGAAGGGATGGTACAAATTACTGCTTGATTCATGGCAGTATGTAGCTGAGCAGTCTTTATCAATATAAAGGCAGCCTGTGTTTGGAGGTAGCACCTGGGAGGAGAGAGAGAGACAAAGACATAAAAATTTCTTATGTAATTTGAGGGATTTGAAAGATACTTTCAGGACAGAAACATTATCTAAGAAAGAACCTGATGTTTCTGAAGGACTGCTTGCCAAGGGACAAACAGAAGATCCAGTTTCTTGGCTGTGGCCTCATACTTTTTCTTTCTATTTTCATATGTTTTCTGGGTTTGTTATTTTCCTCTTATTTAACACTTACTCCATTTTAACTGAGATAAGTACATGAAACTCCATGCAAAATGTTTGGTACCTTTTACATTTGGGGACAAAGAAACATATTTTAAAAGGATAAATGTCCTTAGACGCTTTGGTTAACCTTTACCCTTCTGACAGTTGATACAGACAAGTGCTAGTGTTCATGTAATGGCTGCTAGCTCTTTTCTTTGAGTTCCAATTCATGTCCTATAAATTCACCCCCAGAAGTGTAGTATTTGATAATCTTTTAATATATCAAAGAACTTGTACATGATTTTAGAATATTTATATCATTCCTTCCATGTAGAAATTCCAGCCTCAGCCATCACTGTATAACCCCTGATTCTAATCTGGTGACCACTAACCCATTATCTCTGTAGATTTTCCATGCGTATACAGGCACTGTACATCTCTGTCCCCAGTCCTTGGTGGTCACTAATCCATTATTCCTATAAATTTTGCTATTCTAGATTTTCTACACAGATGGAAGTATCACTGCATAGCTTTTTCCACTTGGTGTGGGAGTTTCAAGATGCAACAGTTTGTAGCATGCAACTGATTCCATTTTTTGGCATGGTATGGTGGTCCAGTTGACATGCCAACATGGATGGGGAAAGTCTCAGAAGGCCCTACCACTAGAAGAAAATCTTCAGTCAATTAACAACTGCTAGAACTGGGAGACAGTCTACTTCAGGGATAATCCCCAAAGCTTATTGTGGCAAGATTTTCCCTCTCCAATCTATTTAAATATCAGTGTATCAGGAGGCCTGTGATTTGACAGGGAAAAGGGAGGCAGAGCTAAGAGTTGCAGAGAGAGGGATGCAGAGAGAGGGAGAGGGAGAGGGAGGGGGCAAGGGGAGAGAGAGAGAGGGAGAGGGAGAGGAGCGGGGCGTGGGAGGAGGGGGAGTTGGATAGTGAAGATTTTCTTCTAGTGGTAGGGCCTTCTGAGACTTTCCCCATCC